GGCCAGCCTAGTTGGGACGTCTCGGTGCGCCTACTGACTCCCCAAATCTTGGCAAGTTAAATATTATTACGAGATCTTGATTTGTTATTGGTTGAAGCGAAGACTACAAATCTCCCATACTGCTTTCAAGATCGCTTAACACATAGAGATGAACAACAAAGCCAAGGAATTTGTTAGCTCAAAATCGCTCTAAGGGCAGGTGGTCATCACCAGACCCTATACCCCACTGTCTCAAAGATTGCTCAACACATAGTCATGAGCAATAAAACCAATAAATTGGTTAGCTCAAAATCACTCTAAGGGCTAGTGATTATCACCAGACCTTATACCCTGCTGCCTCGAAGATCGCTCAACACATAGCGGTGAGCAACAAAGCCAAGAAATTGGTTAGCTCAAAATTGCTCTGAGGGCTAGTGATTATCACTAGACCCTATACTCTACTACTTTGAAGATCGCTCAACACATAGCGGTCAGCAACAAAACCAAGAAATTGGTTAGCTCAAAATCGCTCTAAGGGTTGGTGGTGAGTTTTCAAAACCAAAAATAATTAAAGCTCAAAATCATCAGACCCTGCGTTCAATAACCCAAGATCGTTTGACATACAACGACTAGCAACAAAGACAAAAAAGGATTGATTAGCTCGAAATCACTCTAAAGTCTAAGAAAGAACCTCAAAAACCAAAACTTGGTAAAGGCCTGAAATCATGCTCTGCATTCGACATAGCCCAAGGGGTTAGACGGAAAGGAACAAAACCGATAGATTTGTAACAAGCACGACTGAGTTCTACAGTCGAGGTAGGGGGACCTTCAAAGCTATGAATTGGTTGATGCACCAAACCATTAGACCTTGCATCCTGCTGTTCGAGAAAGGATAGTAATATCAATAAAACCAATCAAAAATCGGCAAATGAAATGCTAAAGTTAACATTACAACCGGGTCTGGCGCCAACGCACTTGCGTCAACCGCGTGGCATTCGACTTACGCCTCTGTAACCAGGCGCACACCCTGGCAAGAGACACCAATACTACAAGATAGATATAAAGGAAAAAAGAATCTTTGGGCCTAGGGGCTCTATAAACATAGTAGTCCACACGCTCATATTTTTTAAGTGACTTTTTCAATTTAGATGGGGAATTATAAAGACTATAGCACTTCGAAATCTAAAGAACTACTAACTCACCCATCGAATCCTGCTCGATTTCAAGATTTTGGTTCAAATGTTTGGTTGATCTAATATGTTTTTTTGGGAGACTCGGTTGAAAAGTGCGAGGTTCGACCAAATGTGTCGAAGTATTGGGCTCAAGAAAGAGTACACTGACACGAAGAGGAGACCCGATGGGACTGGTCGAAGGCGACCAGCCTCGCGACCAGCCATGAGGCTGGTCAATTGTCGACCAGGTCAAGGACTGATCGACGAATGACCAACATCCATGGTCGATAGTCGACCAGCCTTGCTGGTCGGCTGGGAAACTTCGGCTGGCCCATCTAAGGATAGGTCGGTCGATTGACTTGCCCCCTTGATCGTGCGTTTGCTAGATGAAGAGGTAATGACGGTTTTATACATAATAAATGAAAAAAGAACTTTAACCAACATGGAAGAAGTGAAGAGGCTATCCCTTGTCGATAAACATTGACAAAGGATAGAGGGGCTAATGATACAGGATGGCATGAATAATTATCTATGATGGCCAATGAGGTTAGAATTACTTGATATGCACTCCACGTAGAGCACCACATGTTAGGCCGTCTACCACTATAAGGCCCTCTACATTCACATAGGCCGTCTACCATAAGGCCGCCTACCACTATAAGACCCTCTACGTTCACATAGGCCGTCGACCACCATGAGGCTGTCGACCCCCATGAGACCGCCTACCATGATGCCTCTACGTTTACATTGGCCGTCTACCACTATGAGGCCAACGCTACACTTAACCATACAAATGACAATGAGCTGAATGGGAACTGCTCAACGGCAGACGTGGGCACAACCAACCGCTTGAGGAGTTGGGGCCATCCCATTAGAACATGGGAGAAGTTTGAAGATTTACGTCGACACGTGGCATCATTAACTGCTGAATGAGTGCGTTGCATCAGGTGCCTATAAATACCCCTATGGTGAGAAACGTATGACTCTCTTGAAACTCGAACTGTCTGAATTCCAATTATACTATCTTTCCACTTTCCTAAAGCAACTATTGATTCTCACGTCGGAGGTACAACATGGGAAAAATCCCCGACCTCATTTCGCAGGTAGCATTCACTGATCGGAGCAGCCTGAACACCCTACATGTCAAGGAAGCTGTGGAGGTTGTTTAATTCGTGATAATTTCATACACTAAAACCAATAGGATATAACTTTGGAGAAAACAAATCAAAAGGACAATCCGCTAATCCAGAAGGGCACGTTTGCCTTGCGTTGGAACCATTGAAGTTACAATTACCTTCCTGATGACGGAGCGAAGGCGCAGAAATAAATAAAATTGTTCTAGATAATCCCGTAAGTGAACGTGATTGTTGACAAGAAATATGTAGTGAGTTTTGAATATAGTCCCACGAGGAATAACGTTCAATCTTAGTAGATTAATGTTTACCAAATTTGGTCTATTGTAAAAAATAAATTGTTCGTTGGGTTTTTCTATTATGCTAAATTATGAAAGCAATAAATTATGATTTTTATCAGATACGAGATGAGTGTATTGGATTTCTGACTCCACCTATTGACTTTTATTTCAATTCTCGACTTGTGTTGATTCACGTGATTAACATGTTTGTGACGATCGATAATCCGATTTTATTCAATATTCTTTTTCAAGATATATCAAAACATATATTTAACACAACACGACCATATTCCTAATCCGAATTCATATGAAAAATATTATTTAATTATAGAATTATCACATGTGATCGCAAGCGCCAAAAATATTATTTTTAATATTTATTGCTCGTGTGTTCCATATACAGCGTTCCACCTATCGTGAATTTTCCAACACTACGAATAAGCAACAAATATGTTCTAATGATGCGCATGCATTAAAACAACTACAATTTATGCCTATGAAATCACAAACACGAAAAGAACTTGAAAACCAACCAAAAAGTCTTGAATTAAAACAGTAAATCAGAAGGTTTTGTCATCTGTTCAATACATATATTTGTTTAGCCTAGAATTTCCATATGAAAATTACCCAAAAGAATAAGAAAAGACATCACTCGAGACAAGAAATATGATGAAGAACTCGAAAACTCCAATTATTCACTTTAATATTCAACCCAACGATGATTTCTCAATTTTTCAATGTAATAATCCTTGTTTCCTTGCGTACGCAAGGCCTGCGGGCCCATGCGTACGCATGGTACTCCAATTGACTTTTGGCGTTCTTAAATCATCGTTTTGCATCCTGGCCCAACTTTTGAATTATTACATTTTAGTCCCCAAACTTTGTATTTGATGTAATTGAGCCCTTTTTTGCTTATTATCCTTACTCCCGCCTCTTTCACCGATTATTATCTAACAAACAGTATTTACATAGAATTAGACCATATTTCATGTAATTTCTCAACAGATAATCAAATTTAACGGCCTAAATAAGTGTATAAAATAAACTTATAAAAAACAAGCACGTTATTGAAATTCATTTGATTCTAAATGAATACAATAACACAATCACCTTCTAGTTTATATTGATTCTCAAGAATACCAAAAATCTAGGGGCATCAAAAACTTTTTAATTCTCGCACATATGTAGAGAATTTGGATTCATTAATTTTAAATATAACTTATCGAGAATTTAAGACAATGGCGAAGTTCTTAAAAATTGATATTTTACTTCAATTTAAAAATCACTTTATGCCTTGACGACTTATAATCCTTATTTAAAGAAATAAATGTGTGTTTGATTGAGATTTTCTCAATGAAAAATATTTTTCAAAAGTTGGGCACGTGACAATATTTTCCTCAAAACCAAGGAAATCATTTTCCTTATGGAGGGATAAATTTTTATTTTCAAGGCAATTGTCTTTCTTTCTCTCTCATCTACCCCTATTTCTTTGATTTACCTGCTTATAAAAGATGGACAAATATAATATTTTCTAAGTTAAAAATTAAACTAATAAAAATCGTTTAATTAATAATTTTCATACTAATAAGTTCGACGATTAAATTGCCTAGAACTTATTTTCTTTTTATAAAAGTTTCATGCTCACAATCAAATACATTCTAACTAAAACCTGGAAAACAACTATGCTCTAGATAATGACTAACTTTAGACAACGACAAAAATTAAAAGATGATTATGAAAATTAAAAGTCCTAATACACAGTATTCTAAAAGGCAGTGCCTAGGCGCAAAGTGGGAGCAAAACGCCTCGCTTCGTGTTTTTTTGCGCATTTTCAATTTTTAATTTTTTTTAACGCCTTGGTGCGCCCAGCGAGCTTTTTTACATTTTTAAAGCTTTTTTCCCTTTAAATATTACATAATTTTTAAATTGATTTAATAAATAAAAATAATATTAAAATAAGAAAACACATTTTTACGCTTTTGACGCCTAAACGAAGCCTAGACTTGTCTAGGCCGAAACTTGATGTCCAAGTTTCGCTACACTACGCTTTTAAAACGCATACATAACTAAAGACTAAACGCTCCCAAGTGACTTATAATGCAAGAAAATAAATAAAAGATAGTAAAGCTCCACCCTCTTATTTAGTTGTAGGATCGAAACGCATAATTCTCCTTGTGTATTTCTGAGATCTGGTCATAAAATTACATGTACTTCAAATATGCAAAGAAGAATACTGATTGACATTCGTAATAAATGGAAATCTCCAAACAGCCAGTCCTTTGTCTTTCGATTAGTCCTATTTTGTATATTGCCGATATAATCATTAAGAAGGTGTTTAGTATAGAGTACAACAAACAAGAATTTAACTTATTTTTCTTCCTTCATCTTGAATTATAAGCACCGCTATACCAAATATACCATCACATATCATCAGTTCAGTTCAAATCCCCCTTGTTTTCATAGTTTAACCCGAAGCCAAAAGGAAACAAAGGGTCGTACGAATTCTGTTTTCCAATATGCAATGGCAGTTGATCGACACTTTTAAACCACGTCATTGGAAGCCGTCCAAGAAATCCGTAATCTCCAAAGATAACGTCTGTGATTCCATGTCCTTCACTTCCGGGCAACCAAGCAACAACCAGAGCATCTATTTTTTCCAAGAGCCATGGCTCCAATACTAAAGGTCTTCCAGTAATTAGAATTACCAATGTGGGAACTTGATCGGCGACTAAGCTCACCAATTCGGCACCATTAAGAGGAATTTTGAGCACTGGATCGTCACCGCCAGTTTCAACATACGGAGCTTCACCAACAGCTACAACAGCATAGGACAAACCTTGACCAGAAAATGTTTCCGGGGAAGGATGCAGCTCGTATATAACTTCTGTTTTGCTTCCCACGACTTCTTTGATTGCGTCCAAAATAGTTGTGCCTAAAAAAATAAATAAATAATCAACAAAGGTTGCCGGAGGGAACTCAATCAAGGAAACAAAAGTGTCCTGCAAAAAAATTGACAAAAATAATAAAAAATCCTACATAATCCCAATAAATATTATAAAAAGAAAAATAAGCTCAGAACAAAAAAATAGACAACATGGATGTATTCTGGTAACATTCAGCAGACATGACAAAATTACTAATCTGACTAATCTTTGAGATCAGGCATGTTTAAAAAAATCTAAATCCTGTTGTCGTCAAACTGGAACGTGCAAGATGTATAGAGAATGTCAATGGTATTCAAACCTTGATAGATTTAATGCAACAAAATCACTTACCATCTGTGATTCTGCCACTCTTTCCTTCCCATGTGGCCGTCCACCCTCCACACTGATATCCAAGATCATCAGCATGTGTTCCAGCAACGAGAATTCTCTTAGCGTTCTTGTCTAATGGAAGAAAAGGTATCTTTTGATCCTTTCCATTCTTTAGCAAAACCAAGGATTTGCGAACGGCTGCACGTGCCAATTCTCTATGTGGCTGAAACAACAGATATGATCAAGAAATATACTTCAGATCCCAACTTCGCCTCAAAATACTTCACTGAATATATCTCCATATAAGTTGAATTGAGATATTTAAAGAAATAAATAATAAAACATCCAACCATAAACCACTGATAATCCTTCATATCTTTTAAGCTCTTAATGTGTGTTAACAAAAATAGATAAGGCCTACTTGGTCAAACTATAAACCAGTAGGGTAAAGTTAGTTATTTCACATCAAAAGTTACAAGAATCAAGGAAGATGATATGCGTTGATATCCATTTGGTTTGCAGCATTATTAAACTAAAATAATGAGTCAATTAAATTCTGACTTGATTCATAGTGTTATAGCTATGAACTATAAGAAAGTAACTTGAGTAGTTCCTTCAGAATGCAGCTAGTGGAAGTCATAAAAAGAGATAAATCCTGAACTAGATCAACATGGCAAGGTTTGAGAATGCGTCGTTCATTTATGATTGCAATTAGAAAGTGTAGAATATGTCCATAAGGCACATATAGAAGGGGAAATATTTACCTTGCAACCAACCACTTCCAACAAAGATCTATCACTCAGGGGATGCTCAAAAATCCCAGCAACAAATTTGACTCTAAGAATCCTCTCAACAGCATCATCAATCCTGGTCATTGGTATCTCCCCTAATTCCACAAGAGACATAAATTCTTCCAAAAATAATTCAAATCTAAAAGGCACCATGATCTGCAAAACTCAGTGAAGCAAAAGGAGACAAATTATGTCAAGAACTCCAAATTGTATTAGACTTTGTGCATTTAAGTATAATATTTACCATGTCAATTCCTGCATTGACAGTGGACAAAATGCAGTGACGGTAGTTTGAGCCACGCGGAACACATAGCCGGTCCAGTGCTTCCCAATCTGAAATCACAAAGCCCTGCAGTGGAATTTTGCTTATATAATCATTCAAACTCTCTGCAGCAACTACTTTCACTAATTTTAGAGAGAACATAGTTGAAGGACTCTAACAGGATTGCGTGCATCAGTATACTGAAAAGAGAAGGCAGATTAAGCATGACCTGGAAAATTCAATACAAACTAGATTCATTCTTTAAGTAGAAAATGTAAGAATTTGGTACTATTTAATTTTTTATTGAAATGCCAAATTTAACTAGTTCTTTGCTCTTAATGAACAGCTCTAGTTGTGCCCATCTATGAAGCACTGACACGGACACGTGTGTTCGACACGACACACGTCGAATACGTCGACACGCGATTTTTAAAAAAAGTACTGACACGACACGTTGTCGACAAGTTAATTATAATTTTTAAAATTCTTCATTATATAGTATAAATTTAGTTTCATACTTGTTATTCTTTTTTTTTTTTTTTTTTTANTTTTTTTTTTTTTTTTTTATTTAAACCTTTTAAATATGAGTATCTATTTGTGATTTACTAATAACTTTGATTTAAAAATATATAATATTTCTAATAAAAAAAAAATGATCATGTTAGAGTGTCCAAGGAGTGTGGATATCCGACATGTGTCTGATACGGACACGCTACCCTAGTTGAAGTGTCCGTTCAACAGAGGTGCCCCTATTCAATGAATCAACATACTAATAAGTAACTTAATATTATAATAACCAAATTCAATTATAATGTTTTGTATCACATTTTTATGTTACTTCTTTGAACTTGGAGAGAACAGAACGTTTTAATAAGAAATCACTCTGCATTCTTCTTAAAACATAAAAGTAGGGACAGAGAGGGAAGAGAGCTTCTGCAATGCATGCGAATATTCAATTTACTTTACCTTGAATCCCAGCTTTTCTTTCAAGATTTTTGTTAAAAGAAAATGGTGAGTATGCAGTTTGGTTCCGTTCCAGCTAGAGTAGGATGCCATTATGGTGCAAACTCCCTGAGATATACAATCAAGATATGGTGCCATATGGATCCTCTCCAAATCATCATATGATGTCATAGTATTCCCTTCATTTGTACCATAATCAGTTCCACCATCACCCACAAAATGCTTGGCACATGCAATAACATTTTTTCTGGAATCAATTGGCTCAATTAGATAAATTATCCTTGCAGTTGAGGAGAAACTAATTGAATCGTGAAACAGAGAAAAAAAAAATAATGTTAACTATCTTACAATGTGAAGAAATAATAGAATTATATTTTGGAAATGATGCAAGAATCTTGTGTGTAAAGAAATAACAGATTTTGGAGTGCCGGAGAGTATAAATAGAAATCCAACAAGGTGCATTTTTCAGTCCGACTTTCCTCTACAAAATAATGTCTAAAAAGATTTCAAGGGCAAATCTTTCTCCATAAGTTAAAATTGTAAAATCACTGTAATCTTTCTTTATCTGTTTAGGCACTTGCCGACTGCTGTTTCAGTGAACTCCACAAGGACTGCATTGTTTATACAATTCATCATGGAAGTGACAATGACATGACCAAAATACACCTTCAGATACAAAAAGTTGTACGCATGAAAGAATGCAAATCACTTTTCTTTTACCTTCCAGCAAGAAAAGGGTAACCCTTGGGATGCCCTTCAGGTGGTTGCCCTTGCAAGCCTGTAACAAGGGAGGTCATCTTTCTGACAACTTCAGTGTCTTCACTATAACTCTCATAACATCTTCCCCATCTGGGATCTCTGCTAACCTAAGAAGATAAATTCGAAAATTACTGCTGAATAATGTTAATCTTACAAAAGTAAAAAAAGAAAAAGACTTATCACAACAATCAATGTGCTGTTCTCAAGCATTAGCATAATTATTTGTTCTCAGAATTGAGCTTTGAGCACATGCATTGAACTTATAGTTGAACATATACCAATCAATAAATGAAAAATCCCGCAAACTATTAGTGTATGGAGCACCAACTTTTCCAACATTGGTTAGAGAGTGAAAGGGTGCCTTGTTTATAAATGAGTACTGAAATATGGGTAAGCAACAATTACTCAAGCCTTTTTAGGCAAGATTTGACTTGGTTTAATTTCATGGTGCCAGTATAGATTTCAAGGCACATGCAGCATTGAGAGCTCATCGACCTCGGAAATCAAGTGGCATGTGCTAATGCTAGAATTTCATTTCTGAAATAAGTGAGGTAACCAATTGGTTTGGAGTGATTAGCTTCTAAAAGACTGCAAAGCAACGCATACAATGTCTAAAAGATTTCATGCTAGTGAATGTCTGAGAGTTAAGCAACGCACAGATGTATACAACTAAGCTACCCTCCAATCTGATGCGGGCACTTTATTTAGAAATATACAACAATAGCAGGATTTCAACTCACTTAGGGAAAATGAAACTTTGATCTTATGCCAACATTTTATCTTCTGCTAGTTATTATCTAATGCTTAAAACGAAACACTTACGGAAGGAAAGTTCTCAATATCAAACTGCGGAATGTGTAAATAGCAAATTTACACCAAAGGATATATGCAAAGTGTCTGCTTCTAAATGAACATCCAGTTATATAATATTGATTGATATATGCCTTATTTTTTTCTTCTCCTCTGAGGAATGAATGTTACTATATTAGAACAACAAACATGTGAATCAGCTATAGAACTATAAAATGGGCCTTTTATAGGAAGTTCATCATTGCCGACTCATTTTTTATTTTCCATGTACTACAACTTAAAACCCTGCCCCAGTCTGATCACCACAAGAATTTCAAGATCCCTAATATACATTTTACCAAACGAACCAGAACATTTCACAAATCAGAAGATCCAAAATAATTTATAGGGCTAAATAAGAGTCTCAAGCGATTGATTACTTGATAAATGTTCAACTTACAGCAACACATGGTGCAAAGGCATACTGAGCCCCGCTTGCCCTGACTTCAAGAGAAGTTACCTCCCCTATCCTCCTAACCAAATCTGCATCTCTGCATTACATAATGAATTCCACATATATCAGATGGTGATTTTTCAATTTATTGGCAACCCACAATCAAAAGTACTCCTACCAATCACTGGCGGAGTTTTTTTTGTTGTTTGGAAACATTGGTCCCTGGCCGCTGAAGTCGGGGCCTTTGAATACTTTAGTAACACAACGAAGGACTCTTTATCTAAAAGGTGAAGTCGTTAGAGTAAACACATTTATTGTTGATTTAACTTTTGTCATCCGCACCCGAATCCCTTCCCTTTCCTATATAGATAAATGCTAAATAGCGCAAGAAAGTCAATTGAGCCAAAATGCAGGTGGAAAACTCATTACCTGGTGGCACCAAGACCAATATTATGAGGAAAAATAGTAGCACCATAAACATTATTATTGCCATGAACCGCATCCACCCCGTAGATCATAGGAATGCCAAGGCGCGATTCCAGCGCCGCATTCTGGAACCCATCAATCATATCAGCCCAGTCGGCCGAATTCGCCTTGTAAAATGGCTTGCTTCCACCCCCACTCAGCACACTTCCTGCAAATTCGATACAAGCCCGCAAATTCACACACACGGTACACCCTAACTACTAACTAATCCTACAACCATATGAAATTAATGGACCTATACAGCGGTCTTTAATGGCAGTAAGCGTTGCAACGCTGCGTTCGATCTGGGTCATTTGGCCGATCTTTTCTTTGAGGGTCATCCGGGAAAGGAGGTCTTTGATTCTGGATTCGATAGGGGCATTTGGGTCCTTGTATATGCATCCCATTTTCTTGGTGAAGTACTCTAATTGTGGTTCAGATGGTTTTGTGGTGGCAGGAGGCTCTGGTACTAGCAGTAGCTGAAGCAGCAAATTTCAGATACTAAAAGATAATATTACTAATAAATATGTAATGATTAAAAATAAAGGCATTTTCTTTCTTTATATTATGGCCCTGTTCTGGGGAGATTTTGCAAAATGACCT